CCAGAAGGGACAAACCAAACAGTGGCTACAGACGGCCACCGTAGTTTCTCCCCACACCTCACAGTTCTCATTCCTTTATTTGTCAAATACGGATGCCAGCGGTGTTGGGATCTCACAGAGAGAGAACATATGATCCTATCCTATCTACTGCACCTAACTTTGAGATATTTAATTGACAGGAAGAGTATAAAAGATTTAAATCTGAAAAATAACTATAAATAGTAACTATAAGAACAATATGTTCCCCCTCTGTAGTGGAGTAGAAGTATAAAGTTACCAGACCCGGTTACGTTGGGGAACCAGCTCTACAAAGTGAGCTACCAGAAGTCTTAACACTTTCTCACCTGCACACATCTGGATGAACCAAAACCAAAGTGGAGTGTGCTTCACAGACCAGCACTTTGTTTGTCTTTGCATACATGATGCCTTCAGGTGCTGAACATGTAATCACAATGTCACAAAGTTCAAGTCTAGCCATGGGACCTTTGCTACGTGTCGTCTCACTCTCTTTGTCCTCTCATTTCCTGTCTACGATGCTAACTGATGAAGCTGGAAGTCACAGTTTTGGTTTTGATCGACCTCTATGATGTCTGCAGCGACACCAGCAAGCTCAATGAAAATGTTAACAGATAAAAGCTCACTGCTTTACCTAAAATGACCTTTTATGAACTACAATTATTCATTATGAGCTTTCTGTATTTTCACAAATCTCTCTTCATGTTAGGAGGTGAATTTGAATTACAGCCTAACCCAGATTTAGTGATTTGCAGGTCGCAGGCTGGGTTAAGTTTGATCATTTTGGTTCCATGTAACCTTTATTTGGACAGCATTTCATTTACTTTCTCTCAGCGTGTAGTGAAAGATCTGCTTCACATGGAAGTAAAGTTATATAAATGCTTTTAAACAACAGTTTTATGTAACCTAGATGACTCAATTTTCACTTTTCCTATAGATTTAGCTCGTTTTTAACGTTAGCATCAGCTTTTTGCCGGAAAATCACCAAATCATTGGAGGTTGAGAGAAGGTGGTTTCTGTGTGTGTATGTGTGTGT